AGCAAAAAAAGATTACAGAAATTACAGACCTTCAAACAATCAGTGAATCTTTTWCTTTTGAACAGACTGACAAAAAAATTCATCGTTTTATTGCGTTTTTGTGTCCAATTTTCTTGTTTTCTCTAGGGTTTTTTCTGGTCTCCGAGCCCGAAAACACCAGTACAAACACCGGTGTTTCTTCTCCTGCAGCGGTGKATAAGACATCAAAGACTATGTCAATAGCCTACTTTTTCATGGAATATGTTGATTTTTTGGCTATTTCTCAACTCTTTACTGYGTGTATTTTTATATGCCTCAAATTACTTCTGGGGGATATAGCCCTGAAAAACACTACTTTAAAAACATCTGAGGCAGTTTCGATTTTTCTCTTTTCTGTGGATACCCTGTGCTGCGTTTATAACAAAAAGTACTTTCCTGGAATATTTTGTTTTCCAAAAGAGTTATTTGAATATCATATGCAAGCAGATGAGAGAGGTCTCATTGCTCGATTTTTTAYCGCTGTCTATTTYGTCATTTTACAGATTTCCATTTTCGAGGCTGCTTTTATGATTTTCTTGGATATCATGTCGTCGAAAACTTTTTCTTCTGAAGCCATTCTTAGTATATTTGCCTTTTTATTCTATAAATATGCTCCTACATTCAAACAGCAAGAGCCACCTCCAAAGAAAAAGGACGCATCGACCCAAACAGACTCCTTGCCCGTTATTGGGAACAAAAAAAGAGTACACAAACTTGAGAATGTCGCTAAACAAAAGAAATGTCAAAATCAATGACCAAAAAATACTGGTGAGCCATAAAAACAAACAATAAATTGAAAGTTTTTAAGACCATTCGGTAATAATCCCATACAAAGGTTCTGCTTCTTTGGGAGCACTAGCCTAAACTTATGCTGGTCACTGCAGATATGGACTACTCAATTGGAGTAACCTTAGCCCTTCAATTCGTCAAAATAGCTGTCAAATTTGGCCCGCACACTCAACGATCTTCAAAAGCTTAGAAACTATCACTCCATAAATGTTGGCCCAAATTCAAATTATTCCCCCACATTTATGCCCTAAAATTTTTTTTAAATTCATCGATGGATTGATGAATACCATAAGAATGTGTGTCAAACCCACAATATTATGAGCGTCAAATATGGATGCCCATTGATTTTCAATAGAAAACAGTACCAAAAAATCAGGCTGCTTGTCAAATCTAGTCCTTACGCGACAACAGTTTTTTAGCGATTCCATGACTTGGTTTAAGTTCATCATAATTATATAAATAGGCTGTTTTATTTATTGTGAGTATGCGTGGCATTAGACGACGCTTAATTGGTAATTCTAGTGAATTTCGTGTGGTGATCGCTTCACTCGCCCCATTGTGAGACTTGGGAATATCTGATGGAGCAGGATTTTTGAGTTGAAAGTATGCTTTTTATCCGGCCATTAAACCGAAGAAACATTAGAAAGTTTATTATAAGAGACGGTTATAGGCATGCTAATCGCAAAGATGTTATCAGCATCTTGGAAATTAGCCAAATAATAATTTAAAATATAGCTGTTGGGCATACGAGAAATCAGACATTGAAGCGACATTAGCCAGTTTCATATTTGTGCAAAATGCCAATAATTAATGCTGTGAGTGCTTATACAGGAAGAATCTTCTTGGTATAACCATTCAAGATACCTATACATAGAAAAGAGATTCTTTCAATTATCCAATGATACTTTTCAGAAAAAGACTTTAGATAAATTGGGATGGTAAAAATAGAAGAAAAAACGGCCCAAGATGACTTTGGTGCGAGCCAATGCGCACTTTTATCGATAGCTCATGATCTCCCGGTGTCAAAAAGGTCAAATAAACACCAAGGCAGACCATGCAATATCAAATGGAAGCCCGATATGGTTATATGTGTCAGCCATAGCACCCCAAAAATACTTTTGTAATATTTCAAGATCAGAGAAAATATGAGTATTTTCAGTAGCAGCGTAGCGTTCTTGAAGATTAAAGGAAAAAAGGACACTGAGAGTCATGAGAAATAGAATTTTTGCACGCTTTTTCAAACATAAGCTGGCATTTAGACAGGTTTGCATTCATTGAAAAATTAACTCCAACAATCGCTGGAATGGCAAATTAAATTAAACGCCGAAAACTAATCATCAGCGCGTCCTACTTGCATTCAGGATGGTTGGAAAGGCAGAGGGCAAGCCATTCAAACACAAGCACAATTTATTGCGGATTATTTTGCCGGAAATGCCGGA